CGAACGGGGACACTTTCCTCTGGGACTCGGTAGCTAACAACCGCCGTCGAGCGAAACGTAAGAAGATTCCGAAGGAAGTTCCTCCTTTTGAAACAGAACGGGAACATCTCTGTTCCCACGAGTACTTACGGAAGGGAATCAAGAATCTACTGGAACGCTAAAACGGAGCGAGGGAATTGAAAGCGATGAAGCTGTTTCATCCAGGATGATTGAAAAAAATCGGGCTTTGAGAGATGGTCTCAATTAAGCCGTAGACTGGGGAAGGAGGGCATTAATTTCAGTCGATGTAAATTAAAACGGAACCTAGGTCGTCGCGGTGTGACTTACAAGCGACTTCGTTCTGGTGTCATCGTGGCCCTGCGTCGCTTCGATCCCGCTTGCAGGACGCGTTCTAGTAACGCAATATTGGCGCGGCTGCCCGGAATACCAATGACACGCCGGGTGAGAACGCCGGGGTGAGTTTCGTGACGCCGCGGAAGGGTGTAGGGGAGCTCGTTGCCCGAGATAGGCTTTTTCTTCGAGGAAGAGAACTTCGCCAGCAGACTTTCTTCCGTGTTTCCCTTTCTCTAGCGCGCCATCTCTCCTTCGACCCCTGGTTCGCGCAACGAAATGTAAAACTCGTGTTCGAAAGTTCGGAAAAGAAGAGACCGGGAAAAGGAACGGACGGTTCAGCGTTAGGCGACAGACAGGACCCTTTTAATGGTCGGAGATAATCGAATGACCCCCTTTTCGCGAATCTCTTAATTCGCAAGTTTTCCAGATGCCCGTGCCGCGTCTGCGGCGATGGCGGGCTCGGCAGTGAACGAAACAGGTGCTCGCCGCAGCGGACTCTTCTCATTTTCTTGAACCTCTGGCTGTTTCCGGTGTTCGTTACTTAAAAATACTTCAGGAATCGTGTTATTACTTTTCGAATGTGGAGGAATGTTGATGTAGCTTTGGGTTAGCCGTGACAGGTCGGATCAGTTTTTTGTGTTCTTTATTAACGGGAGTGGGTTCTAATTAGCGTGAGACTGTTTTCGTAACTGTCTTTTTTAGCACTTGATTGTTTTGGATGATTTACTTGAAGAAAAAGGAATTTCACGTTCATTGTATATGTAATTTTAATTTAGCAGTGAAATATTGATAATGATAAAATGGAATTTTGTGAAGCTATAATATTGAATATTCAGTTTCATTAATTAGTTTGAAATTTTCCACGCGAATGTGTAAAATGTCGAATGTATAGTATATGTTATACAATTTTAATACTTTCGAAATGTAAGGAATAAATTTGCAACATGACAAAATTTAGGCAAATTAAATGATGTTGAAATCTGGGTATGTTTTGAATCGCAAATGATGATAGATCTGGCCAACTAACAACAGGAGTATTTTACATGTATTTGCTTTTATTGGTTTTTATTTATATGGTACAGGTAAAAGCGGTCATCAAATTTGCGGGCAAAAAATATGTTTGCTCGAATATCTAAATTCCAAAATAATAAAAACATAACATTACTTTTTTATAAAAAATTCAACGATGTAGATGAAATTTAAAAAACTCCATTGAGTTAAACAAAGCGTTAGAAAACTTGTTCTTATTATTTTTCTGTGGCCAAATGTTAATTTATTTTTTTGTCCTTTCGCGTATGAAGTGTATATACCCAAATACGAAATATAAATAAACTGGAATTTTGATTTTCTCCGACTAAAAAAATCTGTTTCTCATCCTTAAGCTCCGATGACAGTTTCCAATCCGTCAGTATGATTGATGGTCGATGCAAAAAATACATGTCCAATATTTCTATGAGAACTACTTTCCACCCTACGTTTGATTAAAGTCAGCGGATGTCAATTCAGCGTATTTATTATTCGTCTTACTGAATTCTATTCTGGTAATATTTCAGATAAATCCATAATTATTATTCCTCTTATTTCAAATATCAGCAAGGCCACGAGGTCACTAAAAAACCATTGTATTTACTTTTAACAAATGAATTTTCTATCAAATCCTATTACCCATGTTATCTAACATCAAATATTATCTACATCCGTAATAACTCCCTTTATAAGACTGTATAAAACACACACAAGATGTTTCCTACGCTGAAACGAAGGTATTCGAATATTTATGACAGTGTACACGCGTTCGTTCCAATTTTGCAACAGTTCCTTCGCGTAAAACAGTCAATCCCGACGAGTGCATAAACCGAGCAGTAATTCTTGTGGCGAAAAAGCCGCGGGGAACAGTGTACGTGAAAGTTCCATAAAAATTCTTAATCTCGAACACGGTCGAACAAGTCGTAAATTCAATCCACGTCGGCTCCCTCTCTCACCCCGCCCCGCCCCTACTCCCCTTGCCGTCAACCCCACTAGCAGCAGCGCGTAATAAATTTTCGCCGAAGCGAAATCGAGCCCGGTCGCCGGAGCCACTGGCGAAAAACATAATTTGAATTCGACGCATTATCGGTGCCTAGGATCGACGGCCGGGAAAGGGATGTTTTCCGCGTGGAGAGCGCGACGGGAGCCCTTCCGTCCCTCTCATTCGCGGAATCAAGTGTTTGAGATTATGACGGCGGCTTCGGTCACGTATTTCATTAACCGTGAATGCCGTCGGCCCCCAGTGGCCACGTAGGGCAAGCGCCGGCCCCCTCGAGGGCGTAGGCGGCCGCGAAATATGTTTGCTTTGCGTTACAACCTGCCGGATGATCCCGTTATAATTATGAATGTCCTTGTTGTTCCGCGAACGAGCGACGAGACCATTCTTCGCCTCCTTCTGTCCTCCGTTAATCTCATCGGGGATTTCGCCGGGCGTGACGGGCTTCGAGACGAACACTCTCTATGTCACACCCGATCGCAGTTAACCCCTCAGCGACGAGGTCGCATCATCCTTCTTGTACTACGACGGATTTGTTTCGTACTTGTGTACTTATCAATCTGTGGTATCGCGATTCTTTTATCGTGGCTACATCAGTTTCTATGCATGTATTTTCGGGTTAATCTTTGATTTTGGGGTTAACCTTCGTGTAGCTGGGTATACTCGATTCTGCTTTTATCCGATTTTTATTTAATACGAATTATTTTTCTGTTTTCACAATCTGTTTGATTTGGCATCATAGAAAGAAATTCTTCTTACGCGATTAGTTTAGGTCAACATCATCATCGAAATTTTAATATAAATTTTAGTGAGGTTTATTGTATCGGTTTGCTGATTTCTTATCGATTGTATACCTAAGCGTAAGTAGATTAGGGGTTCATAACCGATTTTAATTGTTGTTAATCAGAACAGATCTTTTATGGGGATTTTTCATATGGGATTTGTTAAACTCCACATAGCTCATCACACAATTTTAAAACACTAAAGGTTAACATTGACATCGACATTAATGTCTAAACAAAATAGTCTGCCCAAATAACAGACAGAAATACATATAATAAGCCTGAAGAAATAAAATAAGAAGAAAAATAATGAAGGCAAAAGATATACGTCAAAACTGAGGGGTTGAAATGAACAAAAGGAGAAAGAATTGTCCGCTTGTCCGTTTCTAAGGAAAATCCGTCGAACCCAAAACTCGACACGAAGACGTCTTTCATCGAGGCTTGTATCGACAAGATTCATCGCCGGTCTGGCGTGCTTTGAAACGAGCAACGACAGATTGGAATTACCATATTGGAAGAGGGACTGGACTCCTTATTTCCGTTTCCTTTAGCGCGGCGAGCGTAGAGGATGAGGAGAGAAGAGGAAAGGCGAGGAAACCCCGAAGGGCTTTTATCCAAATCGCTGTCTACCGCGCGATTCTTCTCTCGCGCTCGTCTTACATTCTCGAGAAACTGTCTCTCATCTTCTTTTTTTTCGATCGTTTCTCTTTTTCCTTAAAAGTCCCTCTCTCCTTTTCTCTGTCTCCCTTCTCTCTTTCCCCTATGTCTCTTTTTCTCTCCTCGCAAACGGCATCGCTCTCCTATCAACTAACTTTCATCTCCCCTTTTCCATCTCAAGCCACGAGATTCATCCGATTCTCGTCTACGAAGATTTCAATCTTGTTTGGCCGAGGTATCGACACGTCCTCATCTTCCTCTCGATATTCCCTGCAACCTGCTCCCCTTTGTCGTCGTCTCCTTCCCTCTCCCACACACCTACACACTTTTTCTCGGTCCACCCATCCTCTTTCCGGCCGCGAACCGTTTACTAACCCTTGCGAGAACGGGAGAGCGTGGTCGATGCCTATATCGATCGGTCAAAACGAATCGAGTGCAGGCTCGAAGGAAATTCCCGGTCGCTTCCGCAGGAAATTCGCGAAACACGCGACCCCACGCCGTTTTCCATCCCCCGTGTTCTCCTTCCGGTGATTCTCTTTTCCTCGACGGGCATCGAAATCTTCGCCCCTTCGAAAATCACGATACTATCGACCACTCGCTAACGCTGCCGTGTATACCGAACGATGAGAGATAGGGGGTGGAACAACCCCCTAGACGCTGCGGCGATCTTCTCGCGCTCTTTCTGGTCACCGAAAAGGACTTTTCCCGTCTATGAATATATTAAAAGCAAACAAAGCCGCTCCTCCTGTAATCCTTAGCGTTCTCCTCCTTCCTCCTCCCCTCCCCCCCATCCGGACCATCTTACGGCCCGGAGGACGTTACGAGCGCGTTTATTAAAGCGTCCCACAAACGCTTTCTTAAGCACTTTAAAGTTAAGCTTCGTCGTTATCCTTGAAAGTCCTGACGTTCCTCCTTTCGTCGAACGAAGAGCGCTCGCCGCCACCCCTCTTCATTGCCCAACCCTCTCCCATCCGCGACGACGAGGAGCAATTAAAGTCGCGTCCATCGTGCTTGACGAACACCTTTCGTCTTTAAACGACTTGACACCGGTTATTCAGGAAAGCTCAATTATTTTCGGGCGTCACTTTATTTTCTTATACCTTTTACAGGGTGAATTGGAACGACGTGAATCGATCTATCAGTTTTGATTCCCAATGCTTTCGAACCTTTCGGATTCTATAATGAAGGTTTCTTGACTTTTTCAGACTGAAATCTGCTCGAGCGCCCTGACGGACGTCATCCACGCTGTCATCAACGGGACTGATGGTTGTTTGTTCTGCTTCGGACACGCGGGATTGGGTGAGTTTCAATTCTGAAAAATTCTGGCTTAAATATGCTTACACGAAAACATCCTCTATTCCATCATTTTAATTTTAGTAGATTTTTGGGAGAGTATGTGAGATAATACAGATTTCTAATTAGCTGTAAAATATTAAACGCTGATTCTGACTAATTTTTGGACATAAACAATTATAGTTTACACGCCATATTCTTAATTGTATATATTTTAAACGTTATGAAGTTCCTGTGCTGAATATTTTACAGATATTAATAAAAATTTATATACTGTCATCCTACAAGAACCAGTAAAAATGAATTTCTTATTAATTAATCTTTTGCAATCGAGAGGTAACTTTCAATCACCACCAGATTTGATAAAGTAATATTCTAAAGGCTTACATATAATGTTAAGCTTCGTACAATCCATCAATATGAAGCATTGAATTAAAATACCCATTTTTCTTACTGTATGTATCTCTTCTCATGTAGTTTCACAGAATGTCATCTATGTATATCTCATCCGAAATTGTTGAATATTTCCAATGAAAATCTGTCGAGTGCAAAGGATTAAAATGCTTTCTTTCTTCGTTCATCGATTCAATTATCCACGCAAAATATTTTCGAGGATTTAACGTGAACAAATGTTTATACTCGCACGTATGTGATACCGAGGCAAATTGAATCGGGGACGCGCGGAGGATCCACAGCTCGGCGTCCTGGGTAAAAAGCGGGTTAAACATTTTTCTTGCTTCCGCGTGGTGGGTGAGGGGACGACAACGACCGCGTCCTTCTTTCAGCTGCCTTTGTTCAACGAAGTTCGACGTCCTCGTAGACAAAACGGCATTGTTTTCACCGCGAGGAACTCATTCGCGTCGAGCGTGGAAGTAATTACGTGAAATATGAATACCTCGAGGAATTCTGCCGTTTTTATCGCTCCACTGCGCCCTTTTCCACAAGCTTGTTTCGTTGATAAGATGCAGTTGCGCGTTCGAATGGTGCACGCCTTCGAACAATCCCATGTTTCGCGCTAATATACTTCACTGCCAACGAAACTAATCATTATTCAGCGAACAGATGTATCCTTGGAGTAGTCTGGAACGTTAACACTAACCGTACCAGGAACTGGTCAAACAATCGGATTTAAAATCTTGCGTTTTCCTTCGTTCATTTAACTTTATATCGATTCCTGTATTGTCAGATTGATTAGTTTTTCAATTGTCTTATCTTTTATTTCTATTCCCACTAAAAATAATTTATCATCGTCATAATTTGTTTAACTTTATTTTGTAGCCAGTTATTTAACTAGTTACGGTAGAAATAGGTGTGTACAAGATGCCGGTATGGTTAGTGTTAAAAAATATTTGTTACGTTCTTTGACTTTCTTTTTGTCTCATTGAAATAGCTACGAAGACATTCTGTTGGTGTGTAATTTAACTTATAGTCAAATGTGCCGCGATATAGTTTCCTGGCTGGAGGTTTCCTCCACGACAGAATCGTCTTTGAAAGTCTCGCCGAGAGTGCGTGACGGCGACAAAGGCAGCTTCGCTAATTACTCGCGCACTCGGCGATCTTTAAAGCCGTGTTTCTTTGAAAGTGAAGACTTCGGCCGAGCAGATTTCACTGCACATTTTCGGCTTATTTTGCTATGAAGACTGCCAGACACGAAATTCAAAGGCTGCAAAGAGGGCATTCTGCCCTTGAAAAGTGTAGGGAAGTTGTCAGCAGCCGCCTATACGGAGGTAGTAGACCAAAATACGTGCCCGAAACTGTTTTATGTCACTACAAATAGAAAAATCCGGCTGTTAACAACGTTATTGCAATTTAATTGCTGAACATTATACTTCATTTCCCGTAAAAATCGCGAGAAACTTTGGTAAACGAAATTTCAAATTGTTTGCAAATCCTGAGTTAAATCTTTGCACTCGTATGTCATGTTGAAAATGACAATACAAGTTTGTTATAAAACGTTGGTAATTGTTTTAAAAAGTACCACACTTTAAAGGATTATAAAAATTAAGTCTTATTGTAATAATAAACATAATAAATATAAAACGTTGAATTCTATTGCTGTAATTTACTTTAATTCATTTGCATAAAAATAAATACAAATTTACACCCAACAGTATTGAAAATAAATCGTGTGGAAAGGTTAATAACTTATTGTGCAAGTTTCAAGTCACTTGCAAGAGATAAAACGTTTCTTCTTTGCTTCTTCATATTTTATATCTTATCTCCTAAAAAAGTACATAGACAATCAAAAGTCGTTGTCAAATAATGTTATTCAATGTACTTTTTATATAATATGTGTACAACCTATACCTTCTATAATACAAGCAAGCTTCGAAAAAATAAAAAAATTCTTATATCTTATCGCCTACAAAAACACAAAGGCTATAAAAAATAGTTATTAAACAAAATTTGCTGGGTGTATAACAAATACCTTTTATAATACAAACCAGCAAAATTTAGAAAAATACAATAGCTTTCACTTTAGAAAACTTCCCACGTGGAAAGATTATTGCTCGAATTTTCAGTCGGATTTCAATTTTCTCACATGGTTGTAACCGACCATTTGATAGGTGAGATATTCCCCGTGCTGATTTTTTATTTAGACGTTCGGCCCGCCGTGTCGCCCTCGTCTTTGGCCGCTCGTTTGCCGGTTGCTTTTCATCGTTCTCCAGGAAGCTAAACGCGGGGTAGACGGTCGGCGAGACGCGAGAGTTGTTTTACATTTTAAGTAGTGATATCGAGTTTGCATGCAAATGCGTGATTATGGGAGGAAACCGAGGGGAAGGAAGGTTTCCTCGAGTGGCTGGCGCCGCGGAAAGGACAGACAGGAGGTCGCGAGAAAATGGTGGAGGAAAGAAAGGGGAGGGAGGCGAGAACGAGGGACGAAATGGCGGAGACGAAAGGAAACGAGATAATGTATGCTACTGGGACACGCTCTCCCGCCAGCCGCCTTTCGAATCTTAACGTACCTTATACCGGAGATTATCTTCGCCCTGGTCTCGCTTCACTTTCAACGGGAATAACTTCCACGCTGACGGATTTATAGCGAGAGCCGCGAACAGGCCGATTAAACTTTGCTGCTTCGCTCTCGCTCGGGTCATCGTATCGATTATAAACAGCCCGAGGAAAACCGCCGAGGACCAAGTGGAACGAGTCCATTTGTTTTATTGTCTGTTTCTCTAGTTTCCGCTTCTTCTAGAGTTAGTATCAGATGTAACATAATTCTGTATTTCTTTTTACGAATATTAATGTGGATGCGAAGTGATTAATTGAGGCGAAAGTGAACATGGAATAGCGTGCGAATGCTATTGAGTAGATAGATTCTTTGCTTTCTGTTTTGGAAGTTACGTCTGGGAGAGCTTGAGTAATGTTGAACAGAAAGGTGTGACAAGTTTACGATGTGGTACGGTATATATAAGTAGAATTTTATGGACAATGGTTAATGTATAAGACTGCAGGAGAATACATGGATATCATCTTCATTTTTAATGATAGAAGGAAAGTTTAAAACTCAATTTGAATTATTTCCAAGAAGGGATATCATAGAATGAACATTATTTTTGAGAATTATTTCTTTCGAATTTTTTTAAAAACATCAATCTTTTTTCTGAAAACTATTATCTTCGTATGTGTCATATAACGAAGATTTAAATTCTTGGAAAGCCTTGATTTGATCGTGAATTTCCGTTAAATTACAAATTTAATATAGCTCTTACAACAATAAAATACTAGAAAATATCAAATATTTTGCGAATATTTTAATTTTTAATCCTTCCACAAGTCGTAATACATCAAGATAGAGTGGATACCAAGACGTCTCTCTCAAGTAATTTAATTTAGGCGTCTACACCGGGCACAAAGTATCAGTCACCATGTTAATCCAGTTTATTCGCTCGTTTCAAAGTAAACTCGATCAAGGGAAGGCGACCTTCGCGGAAATAAATCTTTCCAAACGACGATAGAACTCGCGTTTCCCTCTCTGAATGTAGAATTTTCTTAGCGCGGAGCGTGGCAGGCGGCGCGGCGTAGAAGCGAAATCGAGCCGTGCGATCGGTCGACTTTTCGCGAAGTTGAAATTTACCGCGAGGGAAAATCAATAAAGAGAGACGGCGGTGGAGATACGGAACGCGGTAGCTAACGGAGATAAGAGTCTACCGAGCGAAGATAAAGAAACGCCGGCGAAGAATGAAGCCGGAGGAAGGAGAGGAGGAAGGAAGCCGAACGAACTTTCATCCCCTCGCGCCACCGGCGAAGATACTTGAGGCAAGTCCGCGAGCAAACTGCTTTTGATCATTGCTACGACAACGCACTTTTCTCCCTTTCTCTTTTCCCTCTGTGTCACTCGCCCCCCTGTTGCCCTTTCTTTGTTGCCTGACTCCCCTATCTCTTTACTTCGCCGCTTCCCAGCTGCTTTGACACAACGGAACGAAGAGCGAGAAAAAGAGGAAGAGAGAGAGAAAGAGAGATAGGGAGAGAAGGAGAAAAGGAAAGGAGATCGAAGGAGGGACAAAAGGAGAGAGAAAGGAGGGATAAGCGAAACGAGGCAGTAAGAACAAGAAAGAGAAGAGAACGCAGAATACGAGGTGCCTATGCGCCGCGGATACGATCGAACAAACCCGAACAATCTTAAAGAGAGGTGGATTGCCTGCATCTTCGTTCGTTTTCCCGCGCGATTCAACCCCGTCCTCAAGATCTATGGACTCGTACCGACGGAAAAACGGGAGAAAAACGGTGCGCGACGGAGGAGTAATACGCAAGATCGACAGTCATCACGGGCGCAAGACCAAGGAAGAAATGGGAGAGAGACGGCTGTCGGAATCCTTTGAAGGCAACGGGATTTGTCGTACAGAAAATTATAACCAGAGAGAAGGAAGCCGTCTGCCTGCATGCCTGTCAGACAATACGGCCTTTTGTACTTTGTAACACGGTGCTAATTACTCCGTATCAGCCGCGGTCCTTAAGGTACGCGCTGTCGAACCCTTTCAACGCGAGAAAGCGCTGGGAAAGCA